GAAAGCAATAGCTCTGTTTAGCTTCTAAAGAAATCAAATCTGTATGTTTTTAGGTCAGCTGCCAAAATGTTTGCCTCATATCCCAAATAAAACCTAGAGCAAGCAGTAGCAATTGCTGCATCATGTCACCTGATGTGGGAAATCGAATCATCGCAACAGCTGCATCTCAGCATTTGCAGCTCTGAAGACCAGGAGCCATTTCTTGGTTTGTTTGGGTGGGGGTTTTTGCTGTTGTGTTTGTTATTTTGCATATGTTGTTCTTCCCTAATATAATCTGAGCATAAATTACAAAACTGAGCTTCGACAGTCTGAGGTATGGAAATATATGTGTGCCTTGGTTGTCCTGCCAAATGCAGTATGTTATCTCGGATGTACTTTAGCACTTGGCAGATCCAGAAAAGGAACCAAATCTTTCAGCTCCCACAGGCTACCATCTCTACCAGAAAGTGCTTCAACCACACACACATTGTGCTTTTCAGATTCTCTTCTAAATAAGTTACTCTGAGAATTATTCCTCCCGAGAGCACACTCCAAAGCTATTCCATTCCCGTAGTAAGTCAAAATACACTACAGCCATCTTCTACTCAAAAAAAAAATTTAACTTACAGCCTGTAATACATTAAAAGAACTGACATAGCCAAAAAAGGAGGCCAGGAAGGGAAATAAACCTCTGTAGCCCCCCTGAGAATTCAGTGGTGTGTGACGTGAGCCCTGGAAGGCACCTATTCCCCTGTGTAACTGGAGCCAGGGCACTAACTGCAGCCGTATCATGTGCCCCCACAGCACGTAGCTGGACCTGGGGCTGCACATTGCTACTATCAGTTTCCAACAACTCTAAGGGCTTAGTCTTCCATGCTCAAGGTTGAAATCTGAAACCATTCTAATGCTGCAAACTAATTACAAGCAGAGTTCCGGGTCTCACCACACCAAAGACTTAAAATAATGTCAAAGTCAGATATATAGAAGTTCTTGTAAGAAATGTTTTAGATAATATCAAAGGCTGACGTCTGCCTTGGAAAATCATTAAGGTGGAAGACAAGGACAAGAGAAGGACTGAAGTGTTAAACTCTTATTTCTTTGGAAACCTGGCATTTCCATGCTTGGTGAACCTCCACGACATTCAGAGGTGCCCTCTGCTGTTGAGAAACAAAATAACCCATGAAAGTCTAGTCAAGTCATAAAATCAAAAAGACATTTGTTCACACTCAGTAAAAGTTTGCTACAGACCAAGAGCAAGAGTTTCTGAAAGCTGCCCATACCAACATTGTCACTAAAAATAAATTGTCTCTAAAACAAAAATCTCCAGGAACTCTGTGATACATATCTTGCTTTAACTTCCACAAGCCACAGGGCTCAGAGCATAGGTATTGTCTTTCCTCTGTTCCCCACACACCGTGAGAGCAGAGGCAAAGCATGAGGAGTCACAGAGAAGAGCAACCGTGCAAAATGAGCTGAGGAGGTGGCTCGTGGGCCGAAGGGCCACACCACTGCAGCACATTCCTGCACACAAATAGAAGCTGCACATCTTTACACCTCTGCTCTCCTTTGAGCAGTTGTAGTTTCCTGAAACACTCCAGGATGCAACGTGTCGCACTATTTTTTGGCAACAAATTTGATATGGGCAACCACCACTACCCACCAAATACCAAGACGAAGTGCCACAGATCATGTAAGAGTTAATTTCATGTGCATCCACCCCAACCATGCAGGATATCATCTCCTCTGGCTCAAATCCTCCCAGCAGTGCCACCAGGCCACGCTGTCATCTCTCCCTCTTCCCATTTCCTCCTCTGGAAGAGCAGAGTAAGGTGGGTCACTCCGGTAGGATGTAGCCGACAACTGTTTAACTTCGTAACACAGGGGAAAAAAGTCAGTGAAGCACAGAAACTCTGTAACTGATGACACAAAAGAAGCTTATTTCACCTCTTTAATTTCAAATGGCAGATTCATTCCAACCTAGCTGGTTGATTATGTGGCTATGAATGCAATCCTACATGATAAAATGAAGTACAAACATATTTATTATCTTCTTCAGCATGACAATCACTAAGGGCAAAATCAGGCACTTATAATTCAGGAGAAAACAAAATTATAGCTTCTTGAGCAATTTTAACTGTCTTGGATGTCTAAGCACATACAATCGCACTGAACCCAACCATGGAACTTCAGAGCTGTTCTCTCCCAGGGCTACCTAGTCTCCACTAAATGCTCAGAACAGAGAATGAGTTGAAACTTTACTGGGCAAAATTTGTTTTCACACGCCTTGCTCACCTGATGAGAAACACATATAGCACAAGAAGTAGTCTACAACTACAGCACCTTTTGCTTCTTCAGGTACTACATGGGACCACACATAGAAGTCATAGTCATGTCATAAACCGATGTTGCTATACCAGGCTCTGCACTCCAACACAAAAAGGCAAAGCCAGTTTCATTTGCTTACTTGTTCTGCACCAGGCATTTGCTATTCCCATCATCAGTGATAACACTACCACTATTTTCAATGTTCATGTAGTCACAACTGGCAATACCACAGACCAACTTAGATGCACAGACAGTAGTATAGGAAGTGGAAGAGAAAAAGAAATATAGTTAGAAGGCTTGTAGCTACATGCAGTGAACTGAAGTGACACATTGGTATCTCTGGTATCATACAAATACACAGACACACAAATCACCTTGCCTAGAAAACGTAATGCAATGGAGCTAAACTACTTCCAGAATATGTACACTAGTATTGTTCTCATACCCTCGAAATTTAGAGCACTAGAGAAAAACAGTTCACTTGCATAATATTCATTAAGTGTTCAACAATTGTGCTTAAGTCCTTTTGATCTTGCTCCACATCAGCAGCATGTCAAATCTTTGTAAGAGTCTTTCATGCTGTCCCAGACAACATACCAACCCAAATCATAAGCAAAACTCACCATTCAGCCCTGCCCTACTTTTTCTCCAGTTACATTTTTACCATCACAAAAGGTTTGTCTCCAGTAAGATTATTTTGGAACTGTTTAAAAGTCAATGCCCTAACACCAAAACATTGTTATAACCATTTTCAACAATGCTATTTCTTACAAAAATAAAGTAATTCTAGTCAACACTCAGTGGTTCCACCAGAACAACTGAGTCCCTCGTGCAAATACTTTCATTATATTATATATACACAATGTAATTAAACGTTCAACACCATAGATAGCTTATACATCATGTTAAGTTTTAACATTCAAGGCAAAAACATTCACAGGAATAGCAAAAGTAATGGCATATATGACACGATGTCATCTTGATGCCATAATCCTGTTGTCAGAGTACAGGGTTTCCCATTAACCAGTTGTTTGGGCTGTGGGATTACAGCACAGGCCTTCTGGAAACAGTGCCCTTTGTTACCAAAACAGACCACTCAACTCTTGTTCCAATGTTTTCTTTGCCCCTCTTCTGCTGCTTTTAAACACACACACCCACTTCCATTCACAAGAATCATCATAGCATTCCTGAGAGAGGTCTCTACAATATGCTTCATGATTATCCATTTTAGCTTGACTTATCTATAAACATACACTCCTGGAAATCAATCCTCCTGGTTTTCACTAGAAAAGACTGCTTGAAGTATTCCACCATCACTGTGTATACAGAATCTGATAATATTTTAACTGCAATGGACCCAAAGAAACATGGGCCTCTAAGATTTGCCAACATAAATCTAAACCACTCAAATTTCAGAAAGATGCAGCTCTGCATGCCACCTACATGAATTTTAATACTAGTGCACTACTACTTCTACCTTGCTATAGACTCACTTATGCCACTGGAAATTAAAGTTTACAGGATGATTATTATACCTTAAGTTGAAGAAGAGAGCTGTAACTTGTTGCATTATAGGCAGGAAAGGTGGCCAAGTAGAAATAAAGGAAGAAAGAACAGTGAAAAGGGGCTACTTTGACAACAGTCACTCTGCTTTTAGAAAATGATCTTATCTCAACCTTATCAGGCTTCATACAGCCTTACTTTACATTTCTGCACAGCCCAGCAATAAAAGCTGTTTATTGACAGACATGTCAGTCTTGTGTCAACAGAAGTTAGCTTAGAAGCATGACAAAGTGTTCACATAAATCCATATTGATCATTATTTCTACACTGTGCTAAAGAGGCTAAATGAAAACAAAAATCATAATTTTTGTTGCATGTTTAATAGACTGACAGGAAAAGAAAAAATAATTAGATCATTAGCAGTATAGGTTTTTCATCTCCCATTTAAGACTGAAGGGTGAGAGAGATGAAATGAGAAGATTTCTGTGGGTTTGGGTATTTTTTTCCTCTACCCTTTACTCAACTAGGATCAGAAAAACTGATGATCACATTCAATAGAGATTCAATGACTCTATTTGGATAAGAAGCAGCTCAGCAGAATGTCTAAATTACAATATATTCACATTGTGACTTTCATTGTTTCAGGGAAACTGATCACTTATCTTTTCCCAACTTAGATAAGTTTTTGTAAATATACAGAATGTCTTTAATGTCTCTTTTCCTGTAAAAACTAAAGGCCTCATAGAAATAATGTGGCAAAAATTGTACAAAAGCTAATGAGATTCAGCATCAAAGCCATTCTCATCCCAGCAGTCCTTCTAAATCCAAAGATTACATTCATTTTTAGCACAGACAACAGTTTAATGGAAAGAAAATTACCTTGTTTTATGATCACTAACAAAGGAATAAGTTTTAAATATCCCCTGAAAAACTTGTTAAACATGAAGACAGCAAGATCTAAAAGGAAAACAAAACAACAAGTGGGATACCAGAAGAATCAGATTACAAGTCACAGGCTTGTATCTGATTTGTTTGCCTTAGCTGCAAGGGAAACAAACTCACGCAAGAGTTCAACCTAGTTATCTGTCAAAACACACAAACAGGATAGCACAGATGTTTAGCTTATCATTTTACAAAAGGCAATTTAAAATGCATTAATATTACTTAAAAGGAGTACAATATCTTTTGCTTACTTTGATCAGCATAGTTTTTTGCTTTTAGTTCAAGCTGTCGAGTTTGTGATTCCAATGCTTCCACTCTGGTCTGCAAGTCCTTCTTCTCTTGTTCTTGAGAATCTTCAAACTCGATGAATTTCTAAACCAAAAAAGTGACATTAGACTCAACAATGCATTACAGATTTATTTTAAAAAGTCTGAGCAGAGTACTTTCTTCCAAGAGAAAGAAAAGATACACAGTCCTTCCTAGATTTGTTTTTAGAAGACTTTCACTTGAGGCAGCAGGTAGGGAACAACACAGCAGCCCTTCACAGCACAGAAGGGTGCAAGCTGGTTTCCAAAACCACAGATCTACAGCTCACATTTAGACATGAAAGGTACTACTTCAGTCCAGTGTCCATCAAGTCAAGCATCCCACCTAAGTTGCTCTGTGTAATCACTGTCAACTAAGAGCCAACCACTTCAGGGAAGCCTGCTCGGGACTCTGTTAATACAGAGTGCTGGTGTCCAAAGATTTGGCTGAAGTGGATCTTCACCTGTGAGCCATGAAGGCACAGACAACACAGTAGGGATATGCCAGCACTAGTGCCAACCAAAATTACATAACAAAAATTGTGTGGAATGAAAAAATAGCATTTTGATAGGTTACAAAATGCTCACAGTCTTTATCAAATATTTAACCATCCCCTACAACCTGTCAGCTGCACAGAAAACTGTTTACAGGCTTTTAGCAATTGTGCTCATCATCATCATCTTTTGCCACCTTGGTTTACCAACTGTGTGTCTCAGTATTCTGGAGTTCACTGATGTTATAAAACATAAATACTGATATATGCATTAAAGTTATCAATTCATCATTACAGTAGTTTAAAAAGCATACTTTCACTGCCTTTTTATTTTTAAAAAACAGAATTTAAGAAATTCAGTGTACTGGTAGCACAACGAATACTTCTCATAGCCAAAGACATCCCAGGTCATGCAGTGCTCTCTATTCTGCACTGCAAAGAGAAGGTAAAGCTGCAAACACAAGTTATGCAGCAGGCTCATCATACAGGGAGGAAAAGCATATCAGAGGCCTTGGCAGAAAACCCCCAAACATCCCAGACAGCCAAAGGATCAGGAAGCAAGCTGCAGCTGGGTACCACATGGAAGCAGAGACACAGATGAGGCAGCACCTTAAAAATAGTAATGTTATAGGTGATTTCAATACCATTTTCTTCCTATGTATTGCTAGGAAAACTCAGTGGGAAAAATTCTTGTACATCAACTTTTAATAAGACACTATTATGTTTTAGCCAATGTGGGTTTAAGCTTTTACAAAAGCAGAAACTCATAACCTCATGAAAAGAGCTTCAGTTTAACAGGGTCATCAGAAGAAATTTTGCTTTAAAATTACTTCAGATGTAGAAACACATCAAAATCTGTGAAGTGGAACAAGAGCTCCTTTCAGTCAAGCTCTCCATGGCTATCACAGGACTAGGCATGGTGTTCATATGACTGTGCTTGAAGCTAAATGGTGAAACACTTAATAAACAGCTGACTCTAGCCCAGGTAGCACTGCTTTGGGTTCTGCTATTTAAAATGAGTTCTCCCGCTTCAAAAAGACAGATGACCAAAAGTCTTTCTACCTCCTCAGTTTGGGAATATTAATTTGCCAATGTAATACTGAAAATCCCAAACTTTAAACTTGTTTCACACCTTTTGGCAAACAATACAAGAGTTTTGCCCCTTTTATACTAAAGATTCAAGTCATGTCTGGCTTATTCTTAGCAGGCTCCATTTTTAAAAGGCTTCGAAGTTTGACATAAACCTGGCACTGAGGCTAAAAGCAACATGGTTTGTTCCATTAAACATGGGAAAACATGAAAGAAGAATTATATAATTTTAACATCTTTGTTTACATGCTTCTCTGATGATTTCCCAAAGTCAGATGTCTCATAACTCACAAAACGCCAGTGACAACTATACTTTTCAACCAACAGCCATTCAAAGCCATCAATGTCCTTGTTACTCATGAAACTAAAGACAGGTATCATCCTGTATTTCCTCTCAAGTTCTTCACCTGCAAGTAATAACACTAGTTTTGTATTCAATGGTTTTGTTACCTTCCACTAGGTTACCTTCATTTTTTTTAAAGTTAGAACTGAAGTTACAACTCTTCAAAGTGTTTTTATAATTAGAGTCGGGTAATTTTTTTTTTCTCTGCTGAAAACTATTACCTGTTCAAAACACAGCTTGACTTTAGACTTTGAATGTTTCTATTTGGTTTCTCCTCTCTCCTCCCAGTGATAACAGAGGCAGAGTCCCAACAGATTGATCACCATGCCCTGACTAAGCCTGTATGACTGTGATGGAAGGACTAGTCAGATAAACCACTATGGCAGCCAAGGTCAGGCTGAGTGCCCATATTAGAAAACTTTTTTTAAGAAGTATTTACATTGACACTACACTCAAATATCACACATCATCTGCATCGTAAATGCAGCAGCATATGTAAGAACATGTTAGCCACTTAATATATGGATACTAGACATTCTCTTCTTCCAACCTGAGCTACTGGTTACACAATAGAGGCAGACAGAAATCTCACTTTCCTCATCGTAAGTGATACCCTGTCTAGGCCACAAAGCCGTATCTTACAACTCTTAACAAGAAGTGGGATTTTTTGGAGCCTTTTTTTACAAAATAAAAAAAAAGAACCACCAAACAAGCTGAAGGACATTGACACAGCTTTAAAACAATCAGACTGAACACCACAAGATTGCAGAAGTTAGGGCTAGAACGGTCTTTAAAAGGTCATCTTGTTTCAAGGTTCTGATGCTCAGTGTTGATGTTTGGATCCTGATTTTGATTAGGAGATAATGAGGTGTAAGCACAGGATATGATGCACACCTCCTTCTGCATGTGCCTGCTGCTGAAACCCAAGCCTGTGATACCTCCATAAACTATGTTTGGCAACTCCCAGGTAATCCTTCCCATTCTCTCCAGGCAGTATCGACCATGTCATTTCAGACAGACATTTGTTTAACCTGTTCCTAAAGACCTCCAACAGCAAGTATGAAAAAGCACTTCACAGATAAGATTCAGAAGTCTTTATGTAATCTATTTTAAATCTACTTGAAAAGTTTACAGCAATAATCTTTGCAGTAACCACAAACTGAGATTACACAAGAGAACAGCAGAGCACGCACATCTGGAGCCCTCCCTCCTGCTTACAACCATTTAATCACCTGGTAATACAGCACTAGCCAAACGAAACTTTTTTCCTCTATTTACATCATCTTCTATTTCCTCATCTTTTAACTTGTTTTCCTGTCACATGATCCAGATGCAACACTAAACGTGTCTGCTACCAGGGTTCCACCTACTTGGCAGTCTTTGTTACCCTCTGGCACGTCCTTCAGTAACTTTTATTGCAATGATGCCAGCTTTCCAGCCAACAGCACCTTCTTCCTGGAGCAGGCAGTGAAAATGAATTCAGCTGGACTTGGGGCACAGAAAAAGACATGTAACTGAAAACCTAGTCACTTTACCCTATTTCAGCAAGGTATAATGGATCTCAATTTTGTTCTCTCAAATTAAAAATACTTAAATTCTTACTGCAGAGTGTTTACTTAACATACAATCGTAAGGGATAACTTTAGGAACAGTGAGAAAAGGCAGCCATGAAGTTCACACTGTTAGTTGAAACTAGCTTTCATGGTGGAAAATCCTTTTTCATGGTTGCAAAAGTAGCAACTGAACATCAGATTTCAAGAACAGCTTAATCCCAGAAACAGCAGAAAAGCTAAAAGATATATTAGACAGCTTGACATGGCTAAAAGGAGACTTTATCCTGTTTCCAGATCCACACAAACCACCTGCTAGCTACACCACTGTAGGTCTGGAGCAGTGTACTTCTACCAAAGTGTAACTTCCTAGTAGTGTGTAAAATAGCAGAAGTCCAAACCCTCTTCCTCACCCACTCCTCTGTGGCAGGGCACACTGCCTACCAGTCACCCAAGTGGGGAGGTGAGTTACGCAGAACTGCAGGCGGAAGAGCAGAAAAGCTGGTTCTTCTGTTTCTTCACCTCTATCACAAATACACCCTCTTAAAAGTCAGACAAATGACTTCACAACAACTAAAAAGATCACGACTGTTACCTAGAGGACTGAGAAAGAGGCCAAGAACTTCTGAATTATTTTTCTTTTAAAATCATCTTAACAGAAGTCTACAGACAACATCTTTCAAGATGTCTCTTTAGTAACACTTTTTAAATACAGGAAATAAAGGAATAAAACTAGGACAATGGTGTAAGGAGATTCCAATTCAAATAGTAAACTATTAATATTAATCAAGATACTACTGCAAATAAAAATTCCTGTAACAGCAAGCAGGAAGTAAAAAGAAAGTATGTTAATTCATTATGACAGAAAAAATGATATGAAATATTGAATTTAGTAGCTCAAAATTCTGGATGTTGTTGTCAGATTACACAACCAACCTCCACACTGAAAAGGAACACACTAAGCAAATACCTCATTGCCCAAGAAAAATAGTGCTAGAGTCATGTTCTCTCCTTTGATGTCAACCATCCTGCACCCATCACATTATTTCAACATTCAAAAAAAGGTTGCATTAGTCAAGCCTGAATAAAACACACACCTCTCATGAACATACCATGTTTTATCTGTGACAGACATGTTCATGTATGTACAAAATAACCATCCTCAGAATGTAACACGTGACAACCTTTGTGCTTACAGCTGGAGACACGGTCTTTGGTCTAATTGCACTTTGGAAAGCACCAGTAAGCTGTCAGGCAGCATGAGTACTAGTTTGCAGACTGCATAATGCTTCTCTCCTCAAGTTAATTTATCATGACAGAAAGAAATGGAGACTGCAGTCAAGTCCAAAACCAACATGAGTATGCACAGCTACTGAGGAGCCACAACAACACAATTAACACCATACTCTATTTCAGCGTATTGTTATGGCTTCTGTCCTGCTGCCCAAGGCCTGCTTTTTTCACTCTGGCAAATGCCCGTGTTTCAAGCCTGATTGATTTTTTCATGAATTAGCTCAGACAATATTTATCAGTCTCTTCGTCTTGCTCTCTCAATAAAAATAAAGTATGTTTTCTAAAACAAGCCTGTCACACGCAGCTTGTGTCAGAACCAGTGATTAAGTCTTTACAACAACAGTCCCTAGGATATTGCTGTCCCCCCTGTCCAGAAGGCACCATAAACCAACTAGGTTTGACAAGGAGAATGAGTGGTCTATTGGTTGAGGAGTTGAGGGGACACCATTCACACCACATTGCTTTGTAATAAATTAACAAAGTCCCAAATGGTTTGTGGACAACAATTTCCACTTAGTTATACCTGTAACGCATACAAATATTTGTACAGGGATGATGTTTTCCAACAAGTTTTTGTTGTCACTATCATCTTCACCCTCTGTGCCATTATTCCTTGGATTTTTATTTTTTTTTTTTTAATTTCAAAGGTGAGCACAACCACAGCAATAAGCACAGGGCACGAAGTCTGGAAATAGACTTATAAGATGGCTTGTTCTATTACAGATAATGCTGTCAATCCAATTTCCTACAGGAGTTTGGCAAGGAAGTTATCCCGCACAGCCGCTTTCTATTGTATTGCTTTATAATCTCACAGAAAACAATGCTTCACAAGCTTATTTACACTGAAGTAATTCTTGGATATTTTTCCTCTCAATTTTAATAGCAAGATCCAGAGACAGAGTTCATGTCCCTGAACAGTCTGCACCACCTGTTGCTGACTGCAGCTTTTATGTGCTAGCTCTGAAGAACCTCCCCTCCACACAGCATGGTACTTCCATAATTTTTGCAATGCGTTCTCACTGCTTTCCCTAAGTACCCTCTACAACTGATCTGAAATGGACAATTCGGCTCCTGCCACAGAGAAAGCCCACAGGGAAAGTGAAAGCGTGGAGCAGTCGGTACACAGTTCCGCGTTCGCTCTGCGCAGCAGTGCCGCTTCTCCTCCATGGACCCGGTGACTGGACGACCAGCGCTCTCGGAGGGTTATTTCGGAGTCCTGCAGGCAGAGCCGTGCTGAGCAGGGACACACGGCAGAGCTCTGCCAGCGGCTGCCTCCGAGGAGCAC